TCCCCATCCCATCCTCATCTCCACTCCATCCCACCCCATTTCTGTCCCCACCCTGACTCCATCCCCATCTCCATCCTTTTTCATCCCCATCCCTATTCTATCCTCATTCCCAGAGACAGGCAGAGGCCAGTGGGACATCAGGGTTTACTGAGCAGGGAGCAAACTCCCAGCCCAAAGCCATTCCCTAGGATAGGTGTCCCCACACCCGGTGTCCCCATGGCCGGTGTCCCCCTCACGCCGTGTGCCGGCCCTGGCGCCGCTTGATCTTCCTCTTGAGGAGCAGCAGGTCCAGGTAGAGCAGGCGGCCCAGGACAGCCGAGGCGCAGAGCAGCCCCCCGTGCACGGCCCCTGCCAGCCCGCAGGAGAACACGTCCTGCCCTGGAGACAGGCCACCGTGGGACATGGCCACCCCAGGGGGGGACATGGCCACCACCAGGGAGGACATAGACCCCCCCCAAGGAGAAGACAGCCACCCCTTGGGGGCAGGGTCACCACCCTGGGGGACATGGACACCCCCAGGGAGGACCTGGCCACCATCATGGGGGGGAGTATCTGGTCATCCTTGTGGAGGACACAGCCACACCCAGGGGGCACATGGTCACCCCCGCGGGGGACCCAGCTACCACTCTTGGGGACATGGCCACCACAATGCAGACCCAGCCAACCCTGTGGGGAACCCAGTCACCATCATGGAGGACATGGCCACTCTCAGGGGGAACAGAGTCACACCTTGGGGACTTGGTCACCACCATGGTGCATCCAGACACCCCTCACTGCAGGGAGCCCCTGGGGACATCATCCACAGCCTGGAGCTGGTCATGGGGACAGCAAGACAGGGGGACGTGGGGACACTCCTTCCTCACCTGTCAGGTAGAGGTTCCTCACGGGGGTGTCGGCTCTCAGGGTGGCCATCACGGTGGGGCAGAAGCGGCCCAGGTCGTGCTCGGCACCATACATTGCCCCGTGCGGGGCCGCCAGGTAGTGCTGGTTGGTGAGCGGTGATGCCGCCTCCACGAACTCCACCTGCCCGGGCACAGGGTGCTCGGGGCATGCCGGGGGACACCAGGCATGGGGGGCATGGATAGGCCCATCCCACCCCACAGCAGGTCCCACCACAACAGGTCCGAGCCCATCCCACGCGGAGGTGCTGGGGCTGCGGAGCCGCATCACAGGGCACCCTGTCCTCGCTGGGCACCCCAAACCCACGGGCACCCCTTCCTGTTGGGCACATTCCCTTTGGGTATCCCAGCTCCAAAGGGTGCCCTGTCATCACCAAGCACATCTCTGCAGGGCATGCTGCTCCCACAGGGCACTCCATCCTGCCTGGGCATCCATCCTATAGGGCACTCATCCCACAAGGCATCTCATCCCACCTGAGCACCCAATCTTCACTCTGCACCCATACCCAGGGGGCACCCCACCCCTGTGGGACACCTCAACCCGCCCCACAGACCACCCCATTTCTATGGGGCGTCCCACCCACACAGAACACCCTATTCCCCACTGAGCATGCCATTTCCACTGTGCATCTATCCCTGCAAGGCACCCAAACCCCATGAGGTGTCCCATCCACACAGGGCACCTTATTCCGCACTGGGCACCCCAACCCTGTAGGACACCCAGTCCCCACTGTGCACCCCATTTCCACTGTGTTTGCCCATCCCTGTGGGACACCCCAAATCTGAAGGGACACCCCAAATCCCAAGGGGCACCCCAACCCCACGGGGCACCCCAAACTCCACAGTACACCAGGATGCTGCATCCCTACACTCCCTCCCCTCCCTGGAAATCACTCTGTGCCCATCATGCCCCCTCCCCTCTGGGCACCCCGAGGCATGGCAGGGCTCCCCGTGGGGTCACCTTGTCCCTCAGGTGTGGAAAGCGGAGCAGGGCCCTCTCCAGCAGCCGCTGGGCGATGGACATCTTGTACTGCTGGTAGTCGGGGCTGCGGTGCCTGGGGAGGCTCCCGGCCCACTCCTCAAACCACTCATACCGTGCCATGGTCAGGATGGTCATGCACGACCGACCTGGGAGGGGGACACAGCTGGTGACACCCCCTGTGCCACCACAGGACCACAGTGGGGGTGCCAGCCAGGGACACGGCGACAGTGGTGGTGCCCACCTCGGGCTGGTGGCATTGAGGAGCCTCTGACCCCTCGAAGCTGAGCAGATCAGGGGTGCAGAGCTGGGAGTGGCCTGAGGGGTCTCCAGTGCTGTTACCTGGGTGCCGCTGCTCGTAGGTGGGGTCCTTGGCAGCGGGGAAGGTGATGAACATCATGGCCAGGTTTTCAGGGACGTCGTCACGGCTCAGGGCAGCGTAGCGAGTCATCCTGCGGGCAGAGAGGGTTGTGATGTACCCACTGTGCACCCACCCACCCACCATGTAC